TACAGCTTCACTTGTACGTGTATTATTGCATAGTATACATATAAGTGAAGCTGTAAACAAGATTATTATATAATAAAATGTCGGTATTACTATTAGTTTGTTCTTTGGTTTTATTGTTTAGTGTGAGTGCTAAAATGATATTATATGGTGTTAGTATTCTTTGGATGTTTTCAAAAATAGTAGGGGTATAATCTAATTTTTTGTAAATTATTTGTGTCTTTGGGTTGACCTGATGAGTGGTTGTGTAGCCATTTGTTGATAATTCTGTTTGGGTAGTTATTTAATTGAAAGGTGTGATAAATTTGGTCTATTTCTATGTTTTGGTTAGTAGTCACTTGTATGTGTTTTGATTTTGTTCGCATACATATTGAATATGTTATTTTTAATATACATGGGTGTGCTGGAATAGTAATTGATTACTTTACTGACATTATAGGGTTTTATGTATTTTTTAAAGGTAATGAAATTATCATGTCTTAGTATAGTGATGTCTAAAAAATTAAGTTTGTTGATTATTTTCATTTTCTATTTTGAAACATATATTTGTCTAGATCATGTTGGCATATTGAAGTATGATTTGAGGATTGGTTAATTGTTTGTTATAAACAACAAAGCAGTTGTCAACATAATGGTTGTAGAAGTATGGATAATATTGTGGATGTTAATCATGTGCAGTTCAGCGAGTTTTGGACTGATGCAAGAGCCCATAAAGATACCATCTAATTGTCTAAAGAAACCATTATTACAAACAAAATAATTATTGGCAAACAAATACGAGTTGGGTTATCCATTTGTCACAGTTTAAACTATTTAATGTGTTTATTATAAACTTTCTTTGAATGGAGGGGTACATGTTTTTTTATTTCGAGATTTTGGAGATTTTTTATGAACTGGTCAGGGTTTATAATGCTATTAATTGAATTATCAAATATATTTAGTTTATTTTTAAGGAATTTCTCTAAGCTGTAAAGAACATAAAATTTAATGTCAATCAGTGGGCTTAAGATTCATTTAATTTGTGGTTTTTACTCTGATTTTTACTCTTGAGTCTGGGTATTATCCAGTTGTAATCAAGAATATTACTAACATCTTTTGTATTAATATAATTAGATTCTTTAAGTTTTTTAATCATTTTTACTAAACTTTCATATATGTTTAAAGTAGGATCTTTGGTTAAAATGTGATGTTGAGAAGAGGAGACTAAATTAAGTTTAACTTTATCATATTTTTCTTTTTCCATTATAACTATGTTTGGATTTATCGGCAGGGACTAAAATTGTTACCAGTTAAAAAGTTTTTAACTAAAGTTGTTTAAGTTTGCTATGAAATTTGATTTTATGATTACTAGTATGTTTATAATCTAAAATGTGTTCAAAATTGGCCCTAACATGGTCTCTCTCATTAGTTTCTATTTTAGTTAGTATGTCCTCTAAATTTACTATGAAATTATTAATGGCCCAACAAAAATTAATTATAAAGTTTAAACCTCTGATTAAAAAATTTTTAACAAAATTAGGTATTATGCAAGTACTTTGGTTTACAACTAACATTTGTTCCCAGCTTTTTCATTTGTTTATAGTTGGGTAATTTAGTCTTTTAACTAATTTATTATATTTTCTACAAGTATATGGGTTATCATAGTCGACTTCATAAGTTTGTTTACCTTTAACTTTTTTGATTTTAGATTTGAGTTTTTTAATTTTGTATCTTTTAAAATTAACTTATTTACTTTTTTAACATCATGGTTTTGCATTGATGATGATATGGATTTAGGTAAGGTTAGTGTTGGAAGTTCTAATTTCTCTAATAAAATAAGTGTTTAGATACCATATATCTGTTAATAACTTGTTCAGTTCTTCTTCCATCTTTTTGGTGTTTGCTGGCAGGTCATGGTATTCTTAGATCTTGCTGTTGAGAACAAATCACACAGGAACACTTTTAGTGGAAGAAGGTCAGTTTATTGATAGGAATTTTACAGTTTTTACAGTTAAAATAATTTTAAGGTAAACAATGAAGGCAGGTTGCCATTTCAAAATTACAAAGCTTGTTTTTGTTAACTGTTTGCATCCTCTATTGAGTACAAGTCAGATGAAATAAAGGGTGGGGTGATGATGTTGGATCTATAAAAACCAGACCTGTTTTATTGCTTACTTCTGCATTATTTCAATTACTCGGCTAATCTGAACAGTGCTCAGTTCCAATTAGTTCAGACTAGCGGGACTCTACTGTATACATTTCTGTTCATATTTCCTTTCCAATTTCTTTGACATTATAAAAATTTTCTTCAAACCGCACACTTAGCTTATAACTTTACAAATTCTATTTTAATATCAGTTATTATTGCTAAATAATATTGTAGATCCTGTCATTCTGTACAAACTGACACCAATTTCAATGTCCTATCTCTTTGCGATCTAAAGTTTCACTGCCCAAATGCCACACTGCTTCACCATTTTCAGTGTTCATGCACAACTGCATACCCCACTATCCACCATTTTAAATACAGATGTAAACCTTCTATGGCATCATTCTAATAGTGGAGTTATATATTTACTGGAGAGATACTGTCAGGGCCTTAAGAAACAGCAGACAAGATCTGGTCCACCAGTACACCATTGTGGGCAAGCTAATGTTTGACTACATTTTAATTTTTGTCTCTTGGCAAAGAAATGAGGTATACTAGGCTCAACAAATGACTAAAAGTAATGGAAGATTCTGAGAAGCATAACTCTCATGCAAGGGAGTTTAAATTAAAAAGACATTTGGAATATCAATTAGAATTTTTCTTTTTTATATTCCTTTGGGTCCTTATATAAGGTCCTTCATTCAAAGGTGGCTATTCTAAATGAAGGTTTGAATAAACCTGGAAAATTCTGCATGGCTAGCCCATAGATTGAATGCAAACCTACAACCAAGTACCAGTGTTTCACCTGTTTCTCACCTGTCAAGCATTTATGGGATATAAGCTTCAGCCATCTAAGAATATGAGTGATCTAGAGTAGCAGTTGCAATATCAAATTTTTAAAAAGTCAAAGCCATCTCCAAGAATAAATTCTTTTCCAAACACAAAATTCAAAAAGTTACTCCTTTAATTTACATTTTTGATCATCCTGGTTTCCAATAATGTTAAATAAAAGCCATTCTAATTCCAGTTCCAATTAGAAATATAAACACTGAGGATGACCTTAAAAAGGTCAAAACATAACATCAACAAATGTGTTATAAGACTTATTTACTCTATAGCAGTGTTTCTCAACGAGGGCGATATCGCCCCCATGTGGGTGTTTTTCCATGTTCAGGGGGTGATTAGTAACAATTTATATTTTGGGGGCGAAAAACAATTTTCTGGTCGAAATAGTAAAACATTATATTAAGAATAATTAGATATTTTATTCGTTATATTGTAAGGAACCAAGTCCGAGCATTATTTTTATTTACTTTTATTTTGCTTTTTATTATATTTTTGTTTGGGGCTTATGTTGTGTTAGGACGAAGGTTGCCTCACCATTTACCTTAGAAACTTAAAAATAGAAGAGAAACCAACTCACCAACAAGAGAAAAGCGCCGTAGAAAAAAACTCGCGGAAAAAAAGTAAGTCTGCACCAAGAAAAGGGGGGAGACCCCACAAGCACAACTTAGGGACTCGCTAAACCTTAAAGAATAAAAACATCCCGAAAATTGTCAAAAAGAATAATGTAAAAGGTTAGCGAGTATTGTTGGAAAATAGGCTGCCTGACAAATAGAAAAAGTTTATTGTTAGCAAGTAAGTATGTAAATGAGGGGAGTGATCACATTCAGAATTGTGACGTCACCTCACAGTATAGTCTGAATATCAAGTTTAGNATTTTGAAGTTATTCGATTTGTGGATCCACAAATAGAGAAAGTCTGGAGAGTTGAGGAAATAGGTTCCTAGTATATTGAGGTGACGATTAGGATCTTTAATTCATAAGAATTATTGTACATAAATTAAGTCTTTGATTTTGTCGAATTCCAAAGGGAAATAGAATTAAGTTAGAAAATAGATTGATTTGAGTTTTGTCGGGTTGATTCTTATTGATTTTCATTGAATAAATTGTTATTTGATTTTTACTAAATTTTGTATATAGTTATTACTAGAAATATTTATTAAATATTGGATTGTTATTATTTAATTCGGTGCATGCTTAAAGTCCAGGCCTGGCACACTAACGCGAATCCGCGTAAAGTACCCGTTAGTTATTACTAGAAATATTTATTAAATATTGGATTGTCATTATTTAATTCGGTGCATGCTTAAAGTCCAGGCCTGGCACACTAACGCGAATCCGCGTAAAGTACCCGTTAGGGTACAGCTATTTCCGGCACACAGTCGTGTCAATAATTGTTGGAAAAGTCGGAAAAATAATATAGTACTTTACAATATTAATCACTAGTCTATTCATGCAGTACGGCAGTATGAATTTGGCGTTAGTCTTAGCCCTCGACATCAGAATTTTGAAGTGAAGGGGCGACAATTTGTTAAAGGTTGAGAAACACTGCTCTATAGCTTCAGCTCGGTGATATTAAAAATGTTGCAACATCTGTAGGAAAATTGTCATAGGATGTCATACAGGCATCATTTTGCCACCTGTATCTAGGCAAAAAGAAGTCTTACAAGGTACTAAAAGTTTATTTAAATTGTATTGTTGTTTCACAGGAAATTATCCCATTGCTAAGACATTGTAATTACTTACTACCATCGTCATGCATTTGCACTAATAAAGTTTCATCTGATTCCAAACCCATCACCTTGGTACAAAACAATTTTTGTTAATGAATGTAGTAATGTATAATCTGTTTCTCTTTTGTAATCTGAATGCTTTGGATAACATGATTTTTCATCAAATATCAAAAGGAGGAGGACAGTTTCTTAAATTATTTTATTAATATGTAAATATAAGTTAAGCATTTGGGACTGATCCCAAAACAAATAAGTTGTTTTGGTAATACTTCTTAAAAGTAATTTTTATAAAGTGCATACCTCTGTCATATCTTTGATAAATTCATCATCTATGTCCATTGTGCTAATTAATTCATTAATCTGCAGAAAAAAATTGATTAATCTCATAAAATGCCAAACATAAGAAAACAAATTACTCACCAGTTTCTGCTGCTGGGAGTTATTTTTTAAGGCAAATGACCGATAACCAAGTATACAAGTTTGCAGCAGGACTCTGAAAATAAATAAATATCATTTGTATAATAATTTAGCTTATGAAAAAATGGAGTGATCAAAAAAAGTACATATAACATTATAAAAACCTATATTATATTTAAATAACACAAAATGTGATTATAGACTACTTCTTAATTGAAATATTACAACCATTGTAAAAAATAAAAAGTTTTTAATAATAATAGATTTTTGGGATGATCAAACAAGTTCTCAAATATAATGATGAAATTTTTTGTAGATGATGGTAGATATTCCATCTTGCTAATTAAAAATTATCCCGCCAAAACGTACTCATGTTTATCTGCCTTGTGATGTTTATTTTAATAAACAGGTTAAAAATTTTATAAAAAATTACAAAATTGTTGTTACCTTCTTAAAACCAGTGGAATACACCAGTTTTTGTGATTTGCTAAAATATGCATGGTTTGAGTCTCAAATAACACAAAAGAAATGTTTTCACAAATGTTAATGAAGTTTATTTTTCACTCCCTGTTGTTAAAACAAAATAAGAAGACTGCAAATAAAGTAGCAATGATTTTATGTGCATGGTGCAATGAGCCATTACGTTTTAACTGTTTTCATGATAAAATACTACCCAAAATGCAGTCATGTTATTGTGAGACAGTCATTGTAATAATTATTGTATTTACATATGTAATAATTTCTTTTTTTGGCAAAAAAGAAAACTTTAAATTATAGAAAAAGAATATAAATGTCCTGATATTTTATAATAATAAACTTTACTGTCAATAATTAAAAATGGCATAAAAATTGTACATAAGAAATTTAAAAATGATAAGATTAAATTATAAATGTAAAAAAAACTTTGTGTATGGGGACTGAACCCAAAAACAAAGCCTCCTCATGTGACACCTTAACTAATCACANAATAATAAACTTTACTGTCAATAATTAAAAATGGCATAAAAATTGTACATAAGAAATTTAAAAATGATAAGATTAAATTATAAATGTAAAAAAAACTTTGTGTATGGGGACTGAACCCAAAAACAAAGCCTCCTCATGTGACACCTTAACTAATCACACCATGCCACTACTTCATGAATCAGTCTTCCATATTAGTATTAAGGGTGGTAGAAAACTTTCATCCTAATTTTCTTGAGATTGCCTGAATAGTGATCCTGTCACTTTGGTAGAGTTGTGTGAGGGTTGTAAAAGCGCATTGAAATTTCGACTAATTATGAAACTCCTAAGTCGGAGAGTTTCGAAGATCAAATCAGATCAAGAGGGTGTGTTGGTGACAAAACCCAGACAGGAAGAAAACTTTCTTACTTATTGTAAAACAAACGCGATGAGATGATAAACGGCAGAAGGGAATGTCGACAGAGAGAGAGAGAGCTTTGTTGAGATGCTTGCGAACAAGCGTCGGGTCAAAACAATCGAGAAAACAGGGGTCTAATGACTAAAGGGACATCTGTTAAGTCGTGTAAGCCCAAACCCGTTAGGGAGTAAATGGCCACAAGAACATCTGGTAGACTGTTTAGGTTCAAAGATGCCAGAGAAAAGGGCCTTAATGGAGTAAAATATGAGCACGGATTTCATCACCTTTCCGACTTTTCCCGACCTGGATCAGTCTCAGGTTTCGCGTAGAGACAAAAGAATGACCAATCAGGGTGAGGGAGAGGATGAACGGGAACAATCAAAAGGGTGATATTCAGGGAAAATCCTATAAAACCCCCAAATCTCAAGAACAAACAGCCAGTTCTCCTCCAGACAAGTGTTTCCGCCAGTGGCCCAAGATCGCCATCCATCTGCAACATCACCCATCAGAGTCAACTCCTGTGCAACGGACACTCTTTTGTCAAGCTTGGGACACCAGTCTGCACCTGTCCACCGACATCGGGAGCTCCCCACAAAAAGATCTAGATCGAATTTTCTGTGTCATTATTATGTAAGGTAAATTTACATCAAAATAAACGGTTTTTGTAAGACACTTGTCATCTTTGTCTCCTGCCACCACCACCCACATACGATTTGCCCCTAGGTTTTCCTGACATGCAATTAACTTATTGCCCCTAAAAGTTGGCAACCTTACAGTTGAAGTACAAGTCAAATCCACAAAATTTTGTTGAAATCAGTGACGAACTATTACTTGGTTCCATTTGTCAATGCAGTAAGCCATTTCTTAACAGCTCTCTATTGTATTGAAAGACATAACTCGCTCCTTAAAAATTTTGTTATAGCTCTTTGATATCAAATATGGCTATGAACTTCAAACTATACAGCTGTAGAGAAGAGTGTTTTACAGTCGACCCCCCTATAACACGGGTTCCTATAGTTCGGATTCCTATATGACGGTGAAAAAATTGCGATGGTATCTGTACAAACATGGTAAAAAAACTCCTATAATTCGGTAAAATGTCATCGGGCAGCCGAACTACTTTCCGCCATCCAGCGCCACGCTATAGAGAGTTTAGCCGGGTAAATTGAGTTTACTATCGTCTGTACAGTATTATATATAAATTAGGTACTGTACATATAATTATATATTAACTTAATTTATTGTAACTTTATTATAATTACAGTAGACCCCCCTATCCCTTATACACAGTTTAACATTATGTGCTAGAATAAAAAGAGGGTAAACTTAAATAAAAAATTAAGTACATAATTAAGAAGCAGAATTTTTATAAAATTAATAAGGGAATACCTGTAAGCTGTGAAATAATTCCGATGAAATGTACAAAAAACATAGACCAGATAGGAGAGGCTAAAAAGATGTGAGTATTCTCTGTATCATTCACTGAATGTTTGGTGTGTTGACTTACACAGAGGGAGGGAGGGAGGTAGTATATCTTAATGGGCTTTGCTACTTAGGAATGGTTGCCAGATGTCATTGATGACTGTACCTGTATTTAGGTTCATTCTGTATATTACATTTGTTTTGATAATTTCAATGTGTTCATAAAATTTTCTTTTAATAATATTTTTTCTTTTTTAAGAATTTTGATGCTGTCGAGTGAGATCTCGCAGCCTGCTTGGTTGCAATGAGTGGAGACTTGCTGAGTTGGTGTAATCATACTTCACCGCTCTTATATGATCTTTTATACAGGTTTTAACACTCTGCTAGTTTCACCTATGTAATAGTATTTTGGATACAAGGTTTACAGCTTCACTTGTACGTGTATTATTGCATAGTATACATATAAGTGAAGCTGTAAACAAGATTATTATTTAATAAAATGTCGGTATTACTATTAGTTTGTTCTTTGGTTTTATTGTTTAGTGTGAGTGCTAAAATGATATTATATGGTGTTAGTATTCTTTGGATGTTTTCAAAAATAGTAGNCGAGTAAGTTGAGTTTACTATCGTCTGTACAGTATGTAAATTAGGTACCATAAGTCTAATACAGCACTAATTTTATACATTTCTTGTGAAATAAACATTTCTTATTCAACGGCCATAAAAATTATTTATATTAATGATGTCTCCAAAGTTCAACGAAGTTTTCGCAGAAAAATAACTTATCAGAAATTGCGCCCGCCATTTGGTGCACTGCTCCGCGACAAAAACAAGCTTAAGCAATGGTGACGTCGAATGGTGCACACTCGGTAAGTAATCCTAAAATTTTTTGTTTATAGCATAGTTTATATGGATTATTCCCAAAAGAATATACGTGTTTTGGAAATGTTGAGTCGAATTAGTCTAGGAATTGATTAATTTTATGGAAGAAAACCTTTCAAACAGCCGTAGTCCGTAAACTTCACACGTGATTGGCAAGGTCTCCTAAAACATCAATTTCATAAAAAACAGAATGTATCTACTGTGTTATAGGGGGGGGTCGACTGTATATTTCTGAATCAAACGAATAAAAGTATAACTGTAAATATATGAACTGAAAGAAAAAACACAAAAACTTACACTTGCAATTTACACATTATACATACAAGCTATAGCTTACATTATCTTTACACTAGGAACATTAATATTAAACATGATTATTTTTAAATGAGTTTAAGTGAATTTAACTATTATGCTATTCACAATAATATTTCCTGTCATATGGCACAGTGACTACATTCATTATCAAATCAATCAGTAATAAACATAATTTTTGTATTTTGTATTTTAATTAATTATATTTCTGAAACATCAGAAATTAAAGGCAGCTTATCTGGTTATGTTTGGGACCTCTGTGTAATGGAAAAGCATGACTACTATACAATGAGTTTAAACTCCCCACATAATCTTGCTTAATTTAAATGGCTTCATGACATTTTAATTAGTTTGGCTAAACAAATTTTGTTCATATTACAACTGCTAAACTAGTTTGATGACTTCAACTCATTTAACTTTCCTACAATTAAGGTCTCGACCTTAATATGATGTTTATAGTAGGTATGAGGCTATTTAAGGCCTTGCACTTTTAAGTTTATTTTTATGTAGCAGAGTTGAGAGCCCTATATAGCATAGGGGTCATATATGTTATAGTTTAGGCCATGACAAAACCAAATCCATCTCCAATCAATTCTAACTGTAACAGGAAAAATTATGGTCAGAAATACTGCTCTTAAAATGCTGATGAAGCTGATTGGGAAATCCTTCAAAGTTTATGAAAATATATATTTTAAAATCAAATTTTGTTCTAATTATTATCTATTATTATGGCATTACATATCAGGTTGTAAAGACTGCTCACAATTACAACATTTTGTATAGTCAATAAAGTATGGCTGCATTTCTTTATGCAGCGAGAGTGTAGAGAAATGACATCACAAGCAATGTTGGCCATTTAGAAATGAGTTTAAGAGTGTTTGCTGTAAAGTTCTTCTCAAGCGCTGCATAAAGAAACACGGCCTATGTAAACAAAGTATATATAATTGTAATTGAAAGTTAGATATATACTGTAGTGTGAAATCCAGAATTTTTACCGATTTTTTTTTTTCCAATTAATGTCCCGTTTTACCTAAAAACTCATTAAATTTCCCTAAGAAACTAGAGTGAAAACTAACTTAACAGAGGGAGAAATTTCACCTCCCCCTTTTTTTTCTCTCAAAGTAAACATTTGCCCATCTCGACAATATTCCCACACTACAAACTTAAAAGTTGATAGTTAACATATGATTTCGTCATTTTATTTGGGTTCCGGGGACAACTTTGACCTCCCCGCACACCTTTTACCTCGCAACTAATTAGTCACATGACAGTTTTCCCACCGCGAAATGATAAAAGCTGCTATTCTCCCCCCCTCCGAGGAGTCACTTCTGAAGATTTAACTGTAACTTGTGCCCTACGTTTGTGCTCTATGTTTTGTTCTCTAGGATATCTAAACCCATAAAGAGGTATGGAACTAATTTTGTGAACTCTCTCTCGGCACTTTGCGTTTTAGGGACTCAGAAATTTCCCTTGATGATGGTTATTGTATCATATATATAGGAACTAATAATTCGTTGTTTCTTTGTTAAATTGGTGTCCTCCTTTACTCGTATATCGCCTGTCACCTTAACGACGGCACTTCTCCCTCCTCCACTTGATCCGCAAAATTTTAATCCCATTCCCTCGGGATAAACTAAAGAAAATTTAAGCCATCTTCGACTAGTGGGCAAGTCCCTCCGACTTGAAAGCCAATCCACAGAGGTACGACGTAGTCATACCCCCTCGGTTCTCACAGTAGCAATCTGTTTCCACAAAGAAGCATTTATGCAATAAGTGGCTCAACTAAAACAAAATGTTGGCTTACTGTCTGAAAAACCAATTAACTAAAAAACTCTAAATTCAAATTAAATTGTAAAATTAAAATTCTAATAAAATATACATACCTTGCTCTTATCAAACAGGCACAAACTATTAATGACTCTTTACCACACATCAAATTATAAGTGGAGCATTTTGTTTCCAGTGTATTATTTTCTTGCTTACAAATCTGGACTTCTGCTGTTCGATAATCTTTACTTTCATCAGTAAAATTATCTCTTGTGTCATTTTCTAAATGCTTACTTTGTTTGTCTGCTAAAGTTCTGTTACTTTTGGGAATATTCAAAAGACTGGATTGCAATTTGCTATTGAATTCTATTCTAAACATTCCAGAATAACAAAAAGCAATTCGTATCCAGAAGTCATAATTCCAGGGATGATACGTCAAACAATTCTGAAGTAATTTAAGTTCATCTGAAAAATATAATTTTATGATTAATTTTAAATATAATAAAAATATTTTTATTTTGAACTTTACATTTAATCCAAACAATTTATCACCAAATTTACCTTCATATCTTCCCATCTTATGATAAATGGTTGCTAGAAGATTCCAATCGGTGATATTCTGGTCAATGTTCTGAGAAGATGAATGCTGCATGATGAAATAGTTTTGTCTTTTAGTTGTATTTTAATTATATGTAATTTAGTTATTTATATGGAATTTATATACCTACTAATTGTAAAGCGTATTGAATAGCTTCTCTGTGATCTTCAAGACAAAGAAAGGAGCGAGATATTCCTTCCAAACAGTCACGTTTCACAGTCATATTACTATCATCCAATAAATCTAAACATCTTAAGTATTTTTCTGCAGATTCTCTGTATCTGTGTTGATAATATAGGAAATCAGCTTGAAATTTTAATATGCTGATTCCATCTTCACAATTGCTATCTTTATTAAACCACTGAAAGATGATAAAATTTGTTAATTGGCATTAACTTTTAAATTTTTTTGGCAGGTTTATCAGCAGAAATTGCTTTCATATAGTGCTGCATGTAAATGTTGACTAAAGCCTGTGAATTGGATAATGCTAGCTTTGTCTAAGTCTTTTGGTTAAAGCAAGTAACACATTATTAATTTCGAACTTATCCTAGTCCAAAAGCAGATAAAGCTAAAATTGTATAAAAACAGATGACTGAAGCAAGAACAAAAAATCTTGGCTTTATCCACCCAATTTTGGATATTGCCAGCTGGACAGTTAAACTGTTGTCCTACCACTCAGGTAGGACAAGTTCCCCTCAGAAGACCCACGAACAAATCCAGATGGGTCAAAAAACCCCAAGAATTTCTTGAGGTTGTCTATCTCAGATATGTCAGGTGACAAGGGACAAGATCCTTATCACCCAACTGTCCCACCAAGGGCCTGGACAAATCCAAAATGGGCTTAATAAAAAGGTCCTCTTCATGCCTGCAGGCCAGAAAGAGAGAAAAAAAATTCTATTTTGGATAAAGCAAGGAGAAAATTTTGGTTTTCACTTTAGCTGGATAATTTGCAAGCTGTCCAATGTAGGTTGGATGGATAAAGAATGAATTTTGTTTTATAAATCAAATAGAATTTATTATTTCTCCATTACATAGCAAATCAGGCAATTTAAATAAATGTTGCCAGTTATTTCACCAAATTACCACCAGATTTAGTAAAAAAAAAAAAAAACATGTAAAGTTAAAAATTGTAGATTTAGTTTTAAAGTAACAAAAATAAATAGTTTGATTTACAGAATACCAATATGGCATACACTGTATGTTGATCATAGTAATGCATACAGTTGAAAAATGTTAAAAGATCTTCTGGTGAAACTAACATTTTTGCATTTTTGCAGCACTTAAGCTTCAAATAAAAGATAGTTTAACAGCGTGTTTTTGTGATTGTGTGTGTTTGAAAGGACATTTAAGACAGATGTTTTTGTGTTTGTTTTGTTTGTTCAATAGTACTTACTAATATAATGTAGCCCTGAAGTTTATAATTGTTTTTTTAAGAAGTCATGATAGGCATGAAAAAATTGTTGCTGTATTGCCAATTGGCTGGAAATCTGGCCAGACCTTGCAACATGTCTTGTTCTCGCTTTCCACATAATGGCTAAAAAGCAAAAAGCTCATGCCCATAAAAACACAACTTACGTACTCAACTGTATCCAAACAATGGTAGATAAAGTCCAAATTTTAATCATTGTTCTTACTTCATCCATATGTTTTTGGATAATGTAAGCTTTATCCACTTTTAACTTGAACAACATTAAAATGAATAGATTACTTCTTGTTTTAACCAAAGACTTGGATAAAGCTAGCACTAATCAGCTAATTCTAGCTTTATCTGATTCGCAGACACTTTAGTCATAACACATACATATACAAGGATGGATCAAGAAATTCCAGGACTGATTAATTTAAAATAAATTTAAAACCAAGATATATTCTAAACCTTAAGAATAATAATAATGATTATGGTTAAATGGCATGTGAATAATTCACAGTAGAAATGTCAGAAATCTATTAGGTTAACCAAAAAGTCTACATTTAAATATTGATAGGAAGTGCTTTTAATGGAAGGAAATATCTTCAATAATATAATTTTCCATTCTGTGTAATGAAGATTATTATCAATTAAACACATTCTCACTATTCATATGTCACAAGTGACTCATGTTTTTACAAGTTGAATATCAAAAGAATATTACAATCTTATAATCAAGATGGGTTGATAATGATGATGATAATAAATGCAGAGCCCAAACGGTTAGGAGTTGAATGTTGAAATTTGATACACAGTTAGGGTATGTCATGAGAACATACACTAAGAAGGGATTTTTCGAAATTTCCCTGCAGGGGAGAGGGACAGGATTAAGGCTTACCATGAAGAACTCGGCTTCTATTATACTATTTTAGATGTGGTTTTTTGTGTTTTAATAGGGTATGCCATGAGAATCCACATTAAGAAGGGATTTTTCGAAATTCCCCTGTGGGGAAGAGGGAGAGGGTTAAGAATTACCCTGAAGAACTCGGCTTCTACTGTACTATTTTAGATGCCTTTCTTGCATTTAAGCAGGAAATTGAACACATTTTTAGACCCTTCTAAAAATTCTCAACGATATTTAGTGTTCCATCATATATAAAGTTGACATGGGGAGCGCATGCGCGTAAGTTTGCTTTATTTGAACTCTGTCTTAATGTTCGATTTTATACTCGAATTTATATTTATGAATGATTCTGGAAGATCCAGCTTATTTTTTGAATTTAGTAAACCTGAAGAACCCAGAAAGAGTTACGAAAAACTTTATTATTCATCACTTAGTGCAGTGGTTCTCAACTGAGGTACATGTACCCCTAGGGGTATGAGTGTATATCGAAGGGGTACATCTAACTTTCATTATGTTAATCAATTTGCTGTAAATTATTAATACAAGAAATGACAAAAACTTGCTTTAAAATATCCCAGTGTGAACACCAATTTCCCTTTTAACAGTCTAAACAACTTGTTTATCCTCTTGATTTGACTGTCTGTTTGTGCCATTAGTGCCGAGTGAACCTGTATTCTAGTAAAATTATGGTTTAACCAAGCATTAACTTTAGAATAGAAAAAAATTTTTTATTCTATAATTATTCCTCGATAAGATTGGGGCTTTTTGTGTTTTTACTGGTCTACTGGTATTAGGAATAATGAGGCCTGGATTGTACCCCACCATGCAATGCATGTCACTGCATGTGTGCACTACTTGATATTTAGCAAATTTAGATGTTACATTTGTTACAAAAATTGAAAGATTCATGTATTGTTCTGCACATTATAAATTTGCAGCCATTACTTTCAAGGTCAGTACACAATTATAATCTCTATTTAACAACGTGGGAACCAAATTTTGAAAAAATTGCTGAAGATTTATCGCAACAAATATCCCATTAAATTTTGTTAGAAATTATTGTAGAATAATTTAAATTTTCTTTATTGTTAATTATAATTATTTATTTTCAGGAAATGTATGCATGTATTGAAATGACTTCTGTGATTTTATATAATATACTTGTCATATAATAATAAATAAATGTATGTACCTGATTAAATTTATTATTATTTACGTAAAATAAGTAATTCACTTTTAGTTATAGATAGATAAAGTTTTTTTTATGGTACTCAGTTATAAGGGCTATATACATCTAATGCAGTAATTATAAAATTTATATACAAAAATATAAGGGGTACTTGAGAAACAACTAATGGGCTAATGGGGTACATAATAAATAAATGTATGTACCTGATTAAATTTATTATTATTTACGTAAAATAAGTAATTCACTTTTAGTTATAGATAGATAAAGTTTTTTTTATGGTACTCAGTTATAAGGGCTATATACATCTAATGCAGTAATTATAAAATTTATATACAAAAATATAAGGGGTACTTGAGAAACAACTAATGGGCTAATGGGGTACATCAACAAAAAGGTTGAGAACCACTGACTTAGTGGTACTACGCACCAGTTAGTGGTTGCAGTGAGTCTTAATTATTGTTATCCCGGTGTGGTAAGCAGATATCTAAAAATTTTCTAGTCTCAGAAGAGGGACCTAATTCTTGCACTCGGTGAAAACGGGTAAGAATGGCTATAATCTAATAATAATAATCTTTGCTATCATTAGTTTTTGTACGGGCAACGCCTGGCTCACCTGCTAGTAAGTAATATTATGAAGTTATTGTGATGTTGCTATGAAGTCATAGGTTGTCTTTGTCTCCAAGATCTGTTGAGTTAAGCAAGGTAATTTTGTATATACCTAGAACTGATATCAGTCAGGATACATGACTGACAAAGACGGGTTATGACATGGTCTCACGGATTTCAATAATACTGTTTGTGTGGATAAGCCTTGTTATGAACCTTTATTGAGCAAAGGAAGCAAGTGCACTTCTCAATTGCTTTTAAGAAAATCAGTTTAAAAATTTCAAGAGACATAAATTTTGTGGAAACCTTCATTGAAGATCATGTGGTTTGGCAGCCATATGCTTTGATCATACTTGCATAATTGCTGGTTTGTGTCTCAACGAGTGAATTTGTTTTTTTTTCAAATCAATGCACTTTTTACATAAAATAATTGAAAATTACATGGATTTATACATTTTGTCTATTTATTTCCTATTAAAAATATGAATTTTCTCCCTTCCTTGAAAATTTGTTTTTTACTGTAATCGTTCATTAAAAATATTAAGTCTTGTATCTCATCTGATGCATCTTGTTAACTCTCCCATTTACAATTTGTGGACCATCCCATTGTGTAAAACTCTACTGTAAATTAAAACAATTTTTCTTATGTTCCTTTCATTTTAATGGTGCACTACCTTCACTTCATCATACTGGTTGTTTCATAGGTTCTTTGTTGTTTTTACCGTAATCAAGATCACAGTTTTCCCAAATTTTATAATCTTAACTCAGCACTGTGTCATGTATACTGAGGTTCTTTTCCAACACTATATACTACCCTGTCATATTTGCAGTAAGTTCAAAATTTTTTACATCTATGTTGTTTGTTTTCCCTTTTGTAAATCATTTCCAATTTAATCATTATTTTAGCTTATACCTGTTAATCAATAATCACCATCCATATTTTATCTAATGTCACAACTCCTGCATTTCCCATAATCCACGTAGTTTCCTAATGATCTTTTACAATTTTGTAACATTATAATAAATTTATGCTAATTTGTATACATTATGCTAACCTGTATGTAATTTTTCCTATATAATTGTAACACAAGAGTTGAAAAGGGACATAATTGTCCGAAATGCATACTCAAAGAAATAAAGTTTTTTAAAGTTTGTCCTCTTTTTTATTGATGGTATAATAAGTCTAGCAAAAAAGAAAAGCCACCTTAGCACTCATATAACTCAAGACAAAAACTTGCTTCTCAAGATTATAAG